AATAGCTTTCATTGGTTTATAATACTTCGTTTAATCTACGAAAACTTTCTCCTCATAAGGGATTAATATTCCTAGTTAAAATATTTCAGAATGTTATTTAATGGGATAGAAACTAAAGAGTTATCGTTTTAGAAGAGACAATATTTGTCGACGGTGTGACCTGGTATATATATATATATATATATATATATATATATATATATATATATATATATATATATATATATATAGTACAATACAACCTCAGTTCAAAATGGTATTAGACTAACTAGGAAAGGGTTAGTTAGTTACATAAACGACTAACAAGTACATAACAATATCAAGATGGTATGCATCAAAAACTGCTTTCTTCAAGTTTGAAAATCCTCGATAGTAATCATTCACGATTGCAATGCTCGAGAGTTTGAGAAAAAGAGCAACCAGTGGATTGAAGTCCAGCGGTATATAATTATTAACTGTTGTTCATGTTCTAGATAGAGGAATGCCATTTCAGGTGAATAAAACAGTACGACGTCAAGAATTTATTTCACTGAATGCAGTGGCGTTCATTATTAACAATTTTTTTGTTTCATTCTTGCCTGTGGGCTATGATTAAATCTTGTAACCATATAAAGACAATTACTAGTTCTGAAATATTAAATTTATTCTCTTTGTTTTTGTTTTTTTTTGAATTTGAGAAGTAACAATAACTCGGTCATTTGAACACAGTTCATGGAACAGGTTTTTCATGTCCTGAGCTATTAGCCAAACTTATTGTATGACGGTACATGATTCTACACACAGTTGTACAGACTAAAGTAGGTGCAGATAGATTCGAACCCAAGACCTACTGATAAAAGTCTAGTGTTGAAGCTAATATTTTTAGAACAGTAGACTAAATCTACTGGACATTTTACTTAGTGATCCACGTGAGAAACCACGAATAAGTGTCTAAAAATAAAGATAAAACTCTAATCCTAAAACAGACTCATGGAAGAAACTAATTTGATAATGATTAGATTAGAGGATTATCTGAATTTGGAGCACACTAAAAAGTGAACACATCTACCACAGGTTCCTTAACAAAGACTACTACTACAAAGACTACTTCTTTGAAATACAAGTTCCTTAAAGTAGCTAGCTAGAATTCATGTGGTTTGAACTGATTTCAATCTCCTAACAGGGTCAATCCAAGTAGAAATAAGAAAAGAGAAACACACACTTTGTGTTGAGATCATTTCATTCTGTTTGGTGAGTAGTACTAAGCAACGTATGTATACTGTTTAAGTTCCATAAACATTGAAACACCGTTCTCTGTGCTCATCTTGAATCTGCACAATTATTCATTCTTTGAGTTTCGAGTGAGCTGCCAATTCAATATGTTTCACGACTACTCACAAGCTTTCATTTCATCTTCACATGATCTCCTCCAAATAACCTACGGACGACCAACTTGTCACTTACAGTCAGAGTTCCATTCGAGGGCCTGGTATTTGGTGTCAGTGTATACCCGGTCTATCGCTATTTCCTTCTGCATGATTGTTGGATAATAAGTTGTTCTTGGCTACTCTTTCCAGCCAGCCCTATGACATTGAATAAAATCTGAAGTAGGCTGCTATCAAATGCTCTTGGTGACATGTTCGCCAAGTCTGCGAACGATATAGAAGCATTGACTTGACAGTAACATAACAAATTCGGATCTCATATTGTATCTAAAAACTAAGAGAGCAACAGAAACAGACGGAATTCCCTCAAAAGCATTGAAAATAGACCAAGAGACATCAGCGGACTTCATGACATCACTACTGGAGAAGGTGTGGAAAGAGGGCAAGATACCTACGGATTGGAAGAAAGGCTACTTATTCGAACTGCGAAAAGAAGGAAACTTAAGTCAATGTAAGAACTGACGCAGCATTATGCTCCTAACCATCCCAAGCGAAATACTAAGCCGCATCATCCTGTGTGGTGAGAGCAGGCTGCTAGCCGATTGGTTGGCACTAATCTACGTTAAGGTCTAGGTCACTAATATGGGTCGTGAGAAGATATGAACAAGCCTGAGTCAACAACCAATCACAGCAAAGTTAACGTGGCAGAATATGATTCGCAGAGAGAACTCTATTTGTCAAGGAATCCCGAAACAACCAATCAGAAGCCTGCGTTTGTCTACCTAAACAACCAATCAGATGACTGCGCTTGTCTATAATAATGTAGTTGAAAGATGTATAAATACGCGTTGATTTTCATAATAAAACGATCTGTTGCCTGGCCCTTGTCTTCTGTTGTTACATTTGGTGTCGCTGCCTACCGACAAATGAAAAGCCTATACCCTGCAGTTTTTGATGGAGACATATGGATCTTCGGGCAGGACTTCAAGGCTTCTGCGCAGTTGAGTGGCGTTCAAGATCTGCCAGCGATGGAGCTGCTACTTGAGACGCTGCTGGGAGGTCTGGCGAAAGCAGCATATGAAGGTGTCGGCCGAAGTATGGACGAATGTTCGACAGGGTCAGGCAAACAGTTTCCAAAGTGGGAAGGACCATATATGGTCACTTCGAGATGGGGTTACGCAGACACAGTCGCAATGGCGAACAATGAGAGGCGCGTGAACGTCAGCGAGCTCCAGAAATGGATACAGCGAGACAAGCCAACGATGACGCCTGCACCAAGTAGATCAAGCCGACTTCAGTCGCACGTATTTGACGGGGGGACGAGTGTGGTGAGAGCAGGCTGATAGCCGATTGGTTGGCACTAATCTACGTTAAGGTCTAGGTCACTAATATGGGTCGTGAGAAGATATGAACAAGCCTGAGTCAACAACCAATCACAGCAAAGTTAACGTGGCAGAATATGATTCGCAGAGAGAACTCTATTTGTCAAGGAATCCCGAAACAACCAATCAGAAGCCTGCGTTTGTCTACCTAAACAACCAATCAGATGACTGCGCTTGTCTATAATAATGTAGTTGAAAGATGTATAAATACGCGTTGATTTTCATAATAAAACGATCTGTTGCCTGGCCCTTGTCTTCTGTTGTTACACCTGGAGAGAATCTAAAACGACCCGGGTGGAAAACTTCCGCCGGAACAGGCTAGATTCAAGAGAAACAAGTCATGTATTGATCAAATTGCAACACTACGGACATTGAACAAAGCTTGGAATGGCAGTCACCTCTCTATCTCGACTTCATTGACTTCGGAAAGGCCTTCGACACTGCAGCGTCGATCGAGAGGTGATTTGGAAACTACTTCGCTACTACGGAGTGCCACCAACAATTATACACCTCCATGCCAAGTAATACACAACGGGAAAGTTACGGAATCCTTCGAGATGAAGATGTGAGTAAGACAAGCTGGCTGTCTACGATCTCCAATAATTTTCCTGACTGCGGCAAACTGGATAATGCGACATACAGCGGACAACGAGGTGACAGGCATAAAATGGACCCACATAAAAACTTGGAGGATCTGAACTTCATCAACGATATATGTGTGATTCTCCACAAACCGGAAGATATGCAAATGAAAAGCAACAAGTTGGTGGAAGAAGCATCCAGAGAAGATTGGCCTTCAGGTGAAAATACAGAAAATAGAGGTGATGAAGATTCCTGGCCAACAGCAAAAGCAACAACAAAAGACAACAATTAGCCAGTATAAATGGGAGGAATCTGAAAGAAGGTTACTTCAAGCAAACTACAAACCTTCATCAACAGATGTCTTCGCCCAGTGCTCAAGATCAGATGGCTGGCCACAAAAGATCAGCAACAGGGAGGGATCTCTGGAAGCGAACGAATCAACTCAGCAGGCACCAATTGTTCAACAAATATGCAGGAAGAAATGGAGGTGGGTTGGTCATACTCTGAAAAAACCATCAAGTGAGTGACATCACACGCTAGGCAATCACTCGAGTGGAACCCGACTGGGAAGCGGCAAGCTGGTTGTCAATGCGAGAGTGACATAGAGGAGATCATAGGAAGAGGAGACGAAAGCATGTAGGCAGATGTGGAGCCAGGTGAAAACGTAGACAGAGAACCCAACGCAACAGAGACGTGCGGCTGAAGCCTTACCTTCTTCTAGGAACTAAAGGAAACATCAACAACAACAACATATATATATATATATATATAATAAGACTACAGACAGCCTTGACAATATAAGACTTGATTTAGTCTTATTACTATTATTCTACGGAAATCTCCAGCACAGAGAACAAAGTGTAGCCTATTTACTATTCATTCATCACTCTAATGAAGTTAAGCGGAAAAAAGTTAAAGTTTGTTTAGTCTGAATCTTAATGAGATTTACCAGGTTCATTTGATTTTTGTAAAAAAAATTGTTAAATCAGGGATTTTAATGATTACACATGCTTGAATTAACAATGTTTGGTCATATCTTCTTGTATTGGCTGATTTTATTGAAAAATAAATAATGATCTTGACTTTCTTAAGGCTTATCTATTTTAAGTATGTTGATGTCTATTATTGAATTTTTGATTTTCCCGTCGATTGATTGGACCGAAGTGCTCGGTCTCAGGTTGACATGTCCAATCAATAGACGGGAAAATCAAAAATTCAATTCAATAATTAATATGACCCATTGCACAAGAGGTGGCTCTCGTGGCCCAAGTGGTCTAGTGGATAACGCTTTGGCGTTTGAAACTATGGGTACTGGGTTCGAGCCTCGGTGGGAACATCATCACTCACTGAGAAATGCAGGTACATCCAGCTGACGAGTCCCAAATAGGACGAAATGCGCATCCTGGATTCCACTGCTAGCCACCATCCACCAATTGTATACTAATGTTGATGTCTACTTTTAAAATGAAAATATTTTGAAAAAATGATTTCATTATTATTACTATGATTATTATTATTATCAGCGGTATCTCTATTGTTCATCATCATCATCATACATATACAACTAAACGTTAAAAGAAAATTAAGTGAATTGTTAAAAGAAGGGAGAAAAATAAAATCGATAATTCAAAAAAAATTCAAAACACAGAAAGCAATTAAAACAGCTACTTACTAAACGTTGTAACCAGAAGAATGTAACTGTACATGAGAGAATAATGAGAGCTGCAGATAGGAAAAAGATAACAGCTGCAACAACTATTGACTTTTGTGATCTTTCTCGACCTAAATGAGAAATATAGAACAGAAATATTGATTAATTGCATAGTATAGCATGTTGGTCGCATACTCTTTTAAAGACTAGATGAACATACATAATATTCATTTGATAAAGTGAAGTAAACAGTTTATTACATAATGTACTAGTGTTGAAATACTTTGTTTGATGAAAGTGCCTGTCAGATTGACTGTCAGAATCAAGCACATATGACTAGACATAAGTGAATGAAATAAGGGTGACTGAATTCTATTTGGTGAGACCGTCCTCTTACATGAAGTATAGATATGATAGAGAAGATTTGTAGCTCAGGTGGATGATTTATTTGCGAGGCTTTCATTGCCCTACTAAGCAACCAACATCTCCAGTGCATAATTCAATTTGTTGAAGTGAGCTTTCAGATTTCGCCACGAGATTATTAATCATCTCTCCTCGTCGGTGACTTTGGACGTGATTGGTTGTTTTTGTGTGTTTTCATACCTTCTAGGTTACTGGTATTGGAACTGATAGTTTCTTTGACTTGAACTTCGACTTTTTGTGTGTGAGGTTTCTTTCTTATTGGTTGATAAATTTTGTCTATCTCTATGTGTCTATTGACTGATGATTCACTGGAATGCCAGGCGGGCTTCTAAAAATTCTCTAGCACTCTTGTTGTTTCCTCTGTCTAATATTTCAACGCTGGTTGTCCCAGTTGAATTGATGTCCGTGGTTGTCTGTATGTAGTGACATGAGCGAGGAAGTGGATATCATATCTTCTGATGGCTAGCTTATGTTCGTGGATACGAAGACGAAGGGGACGTCCTACTTTGACCAATGTGGTGTTTTTCGCAGTTGTTACAATTAATTTTGTAGATGATGTTGGTTTTATCTTCTTTCACTGTTGGCCAATCTATCAAACCAAAAGCCATCAAAGGAAAGCCCAAAGAAAATCGCTTTACCACATATAAAGGATATCTCAGAAGACATGATATCCCTCCCTCATATCACTACATACAGACAACCACGGAAATTGATTCGACTGAGACAACCAACGTTCAAATATTAGACAGAGGAAACAACAAGAGTGCTAGAGAATTTTTAGAAGCCCGCCTGGCATTCCAGTGAATCATCAGTCAATAGACACATCGAGGTAGACAAAATTTACCATCCGATAAGAAAGAAACCTCAAACACAAAATGTCGAAGTTCAAGTCAAAGAAGCAGTTAGTTCCAATATGAGTAACCTAGAAGGTGTGAAAACACACAAAAACAACCAATCACATCCAGGGTCACCAGGAGAGATGATTAATAAACTCGTGGAGAAATCTGAAAGCTCACTTCAACAAATTGAAGTATGCGCTGAAGATGTCGCCTAGTAGGGTGATGAAAGCTTCACAAATTAACTATCCAGCTCAGAGAACACAACTACATCAAGTATCCTCTAGAGGTAATAATGACTTCACAGGTTGGTTACTAGAAAGTAACCAATGGTACGCGTTTAGTCTTTGGTGTCGATGCAATCAGGAAGTCAGTTGTAGACCCAAATAACTCAGTGCTACCTTCTCTGACTGCATCGCTGGATGACGCGGGTTCGAATCCGAGAGGGCACACAACGCCTTGCTGACTGGTGAGTGTCAACAAGTACGAAACCGAAAACTACGGGTTTCTGACCATCTCCTTCAACTGCCTAACATCAATAATGGCTTCACATAACAAATAACCTTTATTATAATGAACGATGATTCTAATCTAATATTTCAAAACTGGTTGTCTTTGTTGTCGTCGTGGACTTAAAAATTTGTCTAACATATGTTCACAGTATACGACAATCCAATTAAAGATTTGTAAACAAAAGAAAAGTGATTTCGCTACATTGTTTCAGCTTGCATGTTTCAGACAGACAAAACATAAGGTAGACTATACAAAAATGAAGACATTAGCGTGAAGAACAATAAAAGCAAAGAGATAGAGGATCAAAACTCGAAAGAGAAATTTAAAAACAATTGGATTGTATTCAAGATGTATATGAGAACAGTGAACTTTCTGCACAGCTTTCATGAATATCGACAACACAATAAGAAGACGTAGTTTATCTTGCCTTCTATAAAAACTGTGTATGACAAGTACGTGTGTGATCAGAATGTCCGAAATGTTTTGCGCCAACACACTACGCGTTTCAGATAACCTACGTCTTCTTATTGTGTTTTCGAAATTCATAAAGGGAAGTAATTGCTTTAAATCTTTGATGAATAGTCAAAGAACTTATGTAGTGCTATTATGCCCTTGTCTAACACCTCGAGACCTCACACTGCACATCTATCACACTTAGTATAGCGCGATCAAACACTAACAGTGTGGTGAGAGCTGGCTGCTAGCCAAATCGGTAGACAGTAATTTACGTCAATATTTATGTCCCAAACATTGGTCATCTGACAAACAAGAACAAAGACTGACTCAACAACCAATCACAGAAGACTTTGCGTAGGCTGATACAATTTGCAGATAGATAATTTGAACTTTAAGAAACGGCCAAAAAGAGATGAAAGATTAACGTTCAGCGAGAAACCACCAATCAGAAGACTGTTTTTTTGCTTACAATAATCTATAATAATGTACATGAAAAACTATAAATATGTGTTGATTTCCTTAATAAACGATATGATACCTGGCCCTTGTCTTCTATTGTTACAACTGGATATACACAACATACATCTCCACAACGTCCCTATCGATTATAATCAAAATATTAGTGACTGTTCTGCTCCCTCTTATTCACGAGCAACCGCTTTCAAAATTCGTTAACTTTGACTTCAGTGGCCTCTTATTACGAGATTTCAGAAGAATAGAAAAGATCAAGCAGCGTTAAACCTCCAGGATATTGATTTGATTTCAAAATTGTGATCTTATGTCTCAAGTTTCAGTATCAAAGCCCTACATGCACAATAAGCAGTCAAACACAACTACAATCCCTTTTTAATATATGAACGGATTAATTACACTACATGCAAGGGAAAATAACATTCTCAAATTAATGCTGCGAAAAATATGTGAATACTACAAAGAAATAATTAAATAACCATCAGCATGACTGGAAATAGTGAAGCTATTAATTAGACAATAACCATCAAACTCTTTCTGGATAATTCACAGTATTCCTCCTATCTTTCGATATCCTCAATTCCTTGTGAATTAGCAACACAAATGAAGAAAACTCTGTATATGTGTGTGTGTGCGATAGTCTGTAGTGCTCTTGTGAAAACAATTATGTAAAAATGAAGGTTATCATTCAGAAGTAGAGCTTGATGACTTAATATTCCTATTTAAGTACAATATTATACTCCAGGTTAGCATATACTACTAATTCAGATGAGTAGTGGAAAAACATTCTCATCAACCAATATAGTCATATCTATCAAAAAGCTTAGAGTTTCCACAGTATTATTCTAGAAGTCCCTTTACTTTGTAAAATACTTAAAGATGGTGAAAACGGCTCATTTTGGTCGTCAGTGTTCAACATTTAAACAAGGAAGAAATATACACAAAAAAGTTTAATGAAAACCAGTTTATGCCTTAAAGTTTCTCTAATTTGAAAGTGTCAAGACGGAAAAGATTCTTTATTAGCCGGGAAGTCGTGATTTATGCATGTACTGGTAAGATAACCTTAGTGGGCAGTTTTGATTTGTTTATTTATGGCTTAATGTTTTGGGGGTCTTTAAATATGAAATCTCGGCCAACAACTGCTATCTTGTCGTGGTGGTCGGGTGTGAATACCGCAGTGACCCAACAAGCTACACTGGCTGGGAATTATGTTCCTGCAGGTCCTACCATGCCAGGAAGCTTGTTTAGGTAGCGGTCAGACTATGGGGTACATAGGTTCCAGAAGCCAAACGGATTAAATGGCGCATAAACCTGTATTGGTCACCAACAACTATGAGGACGTAGCTCCTAACGCTGCCCCGCTGCCTTACATACTAGACACCATGTCAAAGGCGAGATTCTCGTGATGGCCTTGACCGGTTTGTTCAGGAGAGTTTGGGAAATTGAGAATGTACCATCAACGTAGAATGAAGCCATCATCATCTCCATCTTCAAAAAGAGTCGATATAACACATGCGACAAACATAGGGGTATCAGTTTGCTACCAGTTGCGTCTAAAATATTTTCTGATGTCTTGCTTCACAGGTTGCGCAAACACGTGAGGAGTTGATTCACGAAGAGCAGGCTATGTTTCGTTCAGGCCGTGGATGCATTGATCATGTGTTCACCCTTCGTCAGCTTTCGGAATACGGCCCCACGTATTACAGGCCAACGATTGTTGCGTTTCTTGATATTAAGGCTACCTTCGATTCATTGGATAGAACCATGCTCTGAAAGTGCCTGTTAGAGAGGGGTGTGCGTGAGAAGTTTGTTAACATCCTGAAAGCCCTATACAGAAATACATCAAGGTAGAGTGAGGACATACAACCAGCTATCATAACTGTTCCCAATCGACAGTGGGGTTAGACACGGTTACCCAATCTTTCCATTTCTCTTTATTCCTGCCATCTGCGACATTCCGGAGACAGCTCTGAAGGATGTGCGTGCTGATAGTGTATATCTGTTTCCTGGAGAAAGACTTTTTGACTTCAAGTATGCAGAAAATATTGCCTTACTGTGCGATAGCATACAGGCTGCCCAAACTGCACCTAATCAGTTGGCGATCAGTATCTGTAAGTATGGTATGTGCTTTGTACTGACTAACTGCAAAGTACTCTTACAAGACTGCCGGGAGTCTGTACCTGCACTCACTCTTGCAGGTGAGATGCTTGAAGTTGTTGATAAGTTTGTTTATCTGGGTAGTTGTGTGCGCTGGCGGAGGTGTGACGGACGAGGTTTTCAACCGTTTCATGAAAGCTAGAGTGGCATACATCAACTTGAGCCACCTCTGACACCGTCGCGACTTTAGCCTGGCTGTCAAAGGTCAAGCTTACAATGCTTCGGTGAGTGCTGTCTTGATCTGCGCTTGTGAAACCTGGTCTCTCCGAGCTGGG